CACGTGTGGTGTTTACATAATAAGGGTTTTCAGTCATGAAGGTCTATAGATGTGTATCACTGTGTTGTACCTTTATAAGGTCACAGCGACACACTTCTATATCTTGGCTAATCGTGAACATTGAACTAATAAATTTGTTTTAATTACAAACACAAAATCAAAGTGTGACTTTAAAGGCAATCAACGCGCACATTACCAGATCTGCTGATCAAATTGTAAGATGTGCCATGACTGATTTCATTCAATAAAAAGGTCTCAAATTTAAAATTTTGATCAAAAGGAAGAGATTCTGGTAATGCTAGAACTAAGATACTAATATGTTCGATCAAAAGGTTAATTAAACCATTAAATGCAGCTTTGTCCAGTAGCGGATTTAAAAGCTGCGCATAGCGGGGCGGGGGGTGGGGCAGAATCTAGGGCGCATAACATTTGTACGGTCTGTCGCCCAACAGCCCTCGCACTAAGTGGTATACTACTAACAGGGTAATTCAACGTAACAGTGAATATGATAGTGATCAGATAGTAAAAGGCAACATAATGGAATCGATGACATAATGGAATCGAGCGCCATAGGCGCGAATAATATTCAGATAGCAACGTATATGTAATATACTGAGCTTTTAATTTTTTAGGCCAGGACCTCTAAGGAGGGGGGCAGGGCCACTCCTTAGAAACGCTTTCTTTGTCCCGAACAGTTAAATACCCCCCCCCCCACCACCACTTCTTATATCGACTCTATCTCAACTGAATTACCAACGATCTACACCCTATGATCCGACTTATTGCCGATTCGTTAAAACAGGGTCATATGCTCTTCATTGCCGACAGGTCCATATATACAGTAAAGCCCAAGAAATACTATGGAATGAACCAGTTTTGTTGAAAGGGGTTACGATGCGAATATGCACGATACATTTAATAATGGCGGTTGCCTGTTGCAACAGTGGTTGAAACCTGTATGGTGGTGGAGGTGTTTAAACTCTACTAACAGAATCTGCTGTATTCGCAGATAATACAAGCAAAGCTAATGCTTCAAGGTAAACATGTAGCTTGTGGTGTTTGGGGTCACAACTCCGGTGAGTTGCTGGCAGGGTACGAAAAAGTTACAGTAAACAATTATTTTTGTACATGCTAGTATTTTTTTCGCTGTGTACTCTGGGGGCTTTGTGTCTTGTTTGTAGCCCCTGGTCTGTCAGATTGCCTTAAAGTTCCTGTGAACAGACTCGGAGGCCTGTTCACTCCAGTGACCAAGTCCCCAGGCTGGTGTTCTGTTCTGAGAAAGTCCGGTGTACGTCTCTCCACAAACTGGTTGATATGGTCAAATATAGTATGAACTTTGGCTTGTTATTATATGAACTTCCGAAAGACTTTATCCCTTGTTTGTAACCATAATCCAACCAAATCACGAATATTCACCAAAACATGGCCGAAAATGTATATTCAAACCCTTTTTTTTATTCGAAACCAAAAGGTCATCAAAATTGCCATGCAAAAGAGGGGGGGGGGGAGAGAAAGCCTATAACTAACTTTTGCACTTTATTCAATTGTATGACACTTGGCACCATTTAAGCTAGTTTCAAATGAGTTTTCTTTAAATTTTTCCATCTGTCTTAGTTTAGAATAATATATATAAAAAGTTTTAATAATAAATCATACAAAATACAACCCAAAATAACACATTTCACAATTAAATACTGATTTGGAATGTTATAAAACTTGGTAAAAGCATTTAAAAAAACGAAAAATATAACATTCAACAATAGTACATAGAAGCATCATGGCAGCAAACTATAATGTTCACACAAATATTCGAAATCCAATAGCTTTTTAATTGATGCTTGTCAGTTAAAAAAATGGAATTTGATATGGTTTGAACTTTGATGAATATTTTGTGAAAAATTTACCACTATTAATTCAATGGAATTTGGTATGTTTTGAATATTCTGTGAAGAATTTACCACTATTAATTCAATGAAATCAATATTAAATAAAATACAAAACAGTTAAACCAAAATATAATTTGAAATATTGATCATTTTAGGAGATCAGAATATTCAAATCAGCATTGGACTACATTACAATTAATGATATGACGTGATATGGCAAGTAAAGCATACATTTGAATTGATATATGAAAATGAAAATGAAAAAAAGAAAATAAGACATATATAATATGAATATTCATGATACAATATATTTGTAATGTGAAAGATAGGTTGCCAAGCAACGAAACAAACGCTAAAAAAACACTGTGTTGTGTATAAATTTAACGTCAATCAGATATTAATTTTAGCATCTAGAGTGTCCACAAGGTATTTCAAAGTGATCAAAGGGCATAACTCTGGTAGTAATTATCAGAAATTGTTGAAAATCAATAGGATTCTTCTTTGTCTTATGACCTTAAACACTGTGTATAAATTTAAAGTCAATTTAAAGAAAATCACTAGGCTTCTTCGTCTCATGACCTTAAACACTGTGTATAAATTTAAAAACAATCAGATATTAACTTTAGCCTCTAGAGCGTCAACAAGCAATTGTGGACGTCGGACCGACGGACCGACGTACAGAGACAATATACGACCACATTTCAATGTGGGCGTATAAAAACTAGATAACGTAAAGGCAATTTGCGGAAAATTTCATTCAAATTGATCCACTATGAACCGAGAACTAAGCGAATAAAATTTCTGCCCAGCCTCGGTCATCATTACTAAAGTCAGTACGTTAAACAGCATAGTCTTGATTATCCATTTAATCGTTTAATCGAGAAGGAAAGTTAGGCAGTAAATCGGATCACAATCCACTTAAGATCGCAGGCTAGCGATGCCATCTAGAGTTGATTATGGTCTGGATAAATTAATTAATGTCTAATTAATAATTTAGGTAACATTTCAGGCCTAAAGAAACACCTTCAATAGACAGTTTTAGCTCTTGCATAATGTATGTTTAACTTTAGCCTCTAGAACGTCCACAAGATTGATCAAGGACCATAGCTCTGGCAGTAATTAACAGAAAATGTTGAAAATCAATAGGCTTTTTTGTCTCATGATCTTAAACAATGTGTATAAATTTAAAGTCAATCGGATATTAACTTTAACCGGTAGAGTTTTTTTTAGAGTGATCAAGATCCATAACTCTGGATGTAATTATCGGATGGACCAAAGGTCGCAACGACAATATACGACCACATTTCAATGTGGATGTATGAAAAGGCATGATATATTATGATTACATTTAGAACCAGTCTTAATACAATAAGTTTTCCTTATCTATTTCACTAGAATGTAATCTAGTGAGCAAATGGTGTTCCAGCAACTGATCTGAGTGCCTCTTCCAACTCAAAGCAACTAGTTCCAGTTTAACTTTCTGATATCCACAACAACTAGTTGCCATTGACATGAGCGCTCTTACATGTCTGGAAATAACATCACATGATAAGAGACATGTGTCATGTGACTTTATAAACAGGCAAAGCGAACGAAGGCATCCACTTTTCAAATGTCAACAATTATGTAGTAATAGAATTGTGGCAAGACAGACCATGCCTTTGAGGGGCTTCTTCTAAGGTATTTACCATTTAAATAAATCAACAGTCATGTGTTTAGTGTAATTGCCATCAGTTTCAAGTTAACACTGGCGCTCCGAATTCAGATGTCCTCGGTTGCTGATTTGATGACATAAGCACACTTGCAACAAGAATGTTGCAAAGTCGGCATAAGCCCCACTTAACCAACGCATACCAATTAATGATCTTCAAAATGGCTATAACCCATGGTCGTCGCTTAAGACCCCTCAATAATTTGCAAATATGTGTTCACTAGTATAAAAAATGTCGGAACCCCATATTGAATCGCTATGAATTTCATTCATTTATAACCCTGAAACCTGAGAGAGAGAAATGGGATTTAATATCAACTTGACACAAACTACGTCATTTCGGGACTAACATATCATTCAATTTTATTTCAATAATTCGCTTGTGCGTAGGGGTCTTTAACAGTGGGAGGAAACCAGAGGACCCGCAGAAAACCCACAAAGTTGGACAGGCGACCCTACTCCTTGTCACATACAACCGGGGAATCGAAACCACGCCAATTGGCTCAATGACAGACCTTATGATACAGCATGCACATGCTAACCATTCCGCCATCCAACCCCCCTACCCTGAAACCACTCAGATTCATCTCCACATGCTTTCCCATATGGTAATTCACTACAATATTAATAAGCACAGTGTGATAACTCATAATGTAACTTTTAAAAAACTGCTTTTTAAAGATTTTATGCAGTTAAAATAGCATATTTTGTTATAAAAAAATCTAATTTTCTTAATAAAGTTAATATGATCGAAATGCTCACTTCAAACAAATTATGTCAGATGTTAATCTGGTACAAGTAACATATAAAAATAACTAAAACTCAACTGACATTGAATTTTAATAAAACTAGTTCAAAAGGAATGTAATGTTTTGTGTTGTCTATGGCATTATTTATAAGTTATATCATCTGATGAAATGTGAATCAAATAAAATGAATAATACAACCTAGACACATATAAACTGTGAAGACCTGTGTTGAACAGAGACTTACAGTTACAGGTAATTACAAATTATTTAATAATAAACTTACTGGCATTACAAATTATTTAATAATAAACTTACTGGTATTACAAATTATTTAATAATAAACTTACTGGTATTACAAATTATTTAATAATAAACTTATAGGTAATTAGTAAATTACAAATTATTTAATAATAAACTTACTGTTAATTACAAATTATTTGATAAAAGACTTACTGGTAGGCCTAATAACAAATTGAAATTATTTACTAAACGATCTAGACTATTATTCAATAATAGACATACTGGTAAAAAATTACTTAATTATATATATTTACTGGTAAACAAATTATTTAATAATAGATTTACATTGTACTTGTAAACAAATTATTTAATAATAGATTTACTGGTAATAAAACAAATTATTCAATAACAGTCTAACTGGTAACAGATTTACTGGTAATAACAAATTGAAATTAATCACTAAAAGTTCTGGATTTACTGGTTACAAATTACTTACTGGTAACAATTTACTTTAATATAATCCTACTGGTAATTACAAATTATTTAATAACAGTTTTAATTTGTGATTCTAGTTATTGTTAGTAACACTATCAAACAGTAAAAATGTTACAAGTAAACTGGTGTTATATGAATTTTTTTTTTAAAGAAAACACAATTGCACCAGTTTCAATTCTTACATACATTGCATGTATTATCTACAAATTACAATTCATCTTTTTTAGAGTCAACTGTTTTATTTGATCTCTCAGACGCATTTAGATTCTTTTCTTTTAATTCTTGTTCTTCTCTAGCTTTCTGTTCACAATAACCCGACATTAATGCTTCTGCTGCTTTAACACCAGAATTATAAGCTCCATGCAACGCTCCTACTCCATCAAGTGTTGTATACTCGCCTGCAAAATAAATACCTGGACATACAGGCAGATCAAACACATCCCATAATTCTCTTGTATTTCCCACAGAAGGATAGACACCAGAGCCACCTATGTGTAATGACTTTAACCAATCAGACCGCAAAAAGTTTGTAACATTACGCTGGTGAACTACATCGTCTCCAAATAATTTTTTTAACCGATTTAGTGCGATGTCTGTAAGAGTTTCGTCAGTCATCGAATAAAATTTGTCCACAGCATGGTGACCTATTAACCCAGCTAAATACGCTTTATTGTTCACTTTGTTCAAATTGATCCAAGTTGTTAAAACTCCTGCATCCGAACTATGCTCTGGGGTCATAACAAACATTCCTTTATCTTGGGGCCAAAACATCTCGTCAAATTCAATAACAATTCTTTCGGACTGCCTAAATTTTAATTGATGAAAAGTCTTATAAAATGCTTTAGGAAGAGGCGGCTCAAAAAGTAACGAGTCATTCTGTAAAACTGTCAATGGAACGGCCATTATAACAGCATCAACAGATATCTGACGTCCGTCACGAAACCTGACAAGAATTTGCTTACGCTTGTCGTCCACTTTAATTTGTCGCACAATGTGTCGAAGATTTATATCAAGAGGTGCTTCAGCTTCAAATCCACCTACTATTCTATCAACAAGCTCTGCCAGCCCAAATTTTACAATTGTATCAAAACCAAAATCTAACTGATCTGGAGCATAAAGAAGAGCTGAATAATCATTGATATTGTATGAAGGTAGGGCCTTTATTATTAAAGAAGCTAAACTGTTCTCCTCTAAACCTTGTTCAACAATTTCCTGGTTAACTGCATCACGCACAGAAATATCTTTCCCTTTTCGTTTCGCTTTCTCTATCGCTCCTAGCATTAGTTCTTTAGCTTTTCTCATTGCTTCCATTAGATCAGGACCTTGATGCGTCTTGCTGTTGCCTGATGTATAAAATTCAAGAGATCCAATGGAATCTTTTTCAATTTCAAACCTTTTAACCAATTCTATCAGTGGGTTATCTTTAATTTTAGAATTGAGAAACATTGCTCCTAAATCTGCTTCAATCTCTTTGGAGTTTGCAGACAGATTTCTTTTAGTCCAGACTCGGCCACCATAGCGCTCTCTTTTAGCCTCGTAAACCTGGACTAAGAAGCGATTCAGTCTGTCATTAGATAATACACGAGCGGCAGCTAGTCCAGCTACACCACCGCCTATCACAGCTACATTTGTGTGTCTGCCTACTGCCACATTTAAAAGTGATAGAATAGCAAACATCACCATGCCAAGATATCCTTGTGTTTCCATAATGTGGTTAAAATAAAATCTTGGTAAGCAGAAAATAAAATCTTGGTAAGCAGAAAACAAGGATAATTCAATCACCAGTTTAAAAGTTTTACAAATCTGAAATAATATAGAAAAGTGTTAGATTTACAATGTAACAACTAAGACATTATTCTGTAATATCAATCAATCTTTCATCCAACTTGAATTATTGCTGTTTTTTTTTTTCCTTCTAGAGTTCTAGTTCGACTATTATATAGATATCAATGCACCAATAGGGTTTAAAGTCTTGTTCGCATAATACATTGGTCATCTTGAGACTAACTTAGGGTATGTTTTATTTCAATGGTTATATGTGCAATGGAGCGGGCAGAGCACACAGCATGGCGTAGGTCTACATAAGCCCATCTTCATTATCTCGGGCAGTGCCGAAAAAAGGACCTTAAAAAAACCTATTTCACTTCCAACCTCTTGTCCAAACACTGGAGTCGAGAAAAGTGGTAGGCCCTGCATTATATAATACTGATATTCCAAAACGAAATAGTTTTTAGTCTTACTGGATGGATGTGTCATGTAAGAATGTATAGCCATAAGCCTATAGAGTATTAATAAAAATGACAAATATTTAAATAATAGTATCATTAGTATTATTAGTAATATTATTATATCTATCTTAGTACTATAGTTAAGTTGTTCTCTAGCTGTGTCCCAAAGCGTGAGAAGGACAACAGTCCGGCACACCCGTTTAATAGTTCCCTGCTTTCACTGAAAGGCGGGGAGCAAAATATATAAACCTTAGTGCACCATTATATCAGAAGAGACTTGTCTACGATATCACCTTAGGTGGAAGTGGACGTAAAACACCAGAAACGAACGAACGATTATATCAGAAGATAGTAATTTCTGGACTTTAAAAATAAATTTAGCGGTCAATGGGTAATAACTCTCTTTATAGTCGCGTTTATCAAGGCTTTTTTCAACTGAAGTAGAGTTGCCTCCCTCTAACTAAAGTATACCGAAATTTTTACACCACAGTGACCCATTTCTCCGAATAAAACCACAGAACTGTTAAATTATTTCTATGATATATCATAAAGCTTCATAAATGTGAAGTAAAATTTTATAACGACCCCAAGATATATCTAGCTGTATATGTATTTTTATAGTTTCATGAAATCAGAAATAGCATAGGCATCACATGGTGAAAATTTTATGTAAATCGAATAATATTTGCTACTTTTATAGACCAAAATCCTTGAAAAGTGACTTGTAGAAAATCGTCTATTTCTCTGCAACCGTACAAGTTAGAAACCATTTTTTGGTATTTGTATGATCGCGTGGGTTCATTCTATTTGTTGATTGGAATCAAATATCATAATTTTAAAAACAATACAAATCAGACTCATTTGAATAAAATATCTGTTTTGAAGGCTAAAAATACAGTTTTTGCCACAATGACGTTATTTCCGGTAACAGTAAAAGTGTTAAATTACTTGTATGAAATCGTAAATGGCATTAGGTATCACACACGGGGAATTTTATGAACAAGTTAGAAACCATTTTATGATATCTATATGATCGTTTGGGTTCATTCTATTAGTTGATTGGAATCAAATATCAAAATCTTAAACAAACAACAAATACGACTCATTTGAATAAATTATTTGTTTTGAAGGTTATAAATACAATTTTTGCCCAAATTACGTCATTTCCGGTGACATTGAAAATGTTAAATTGGTTTGACCTTGTTCAAATTGACATTACGCATCAAATGGCATCAAATGGTGACACTTTTATTAAAATCGAATAATTATTGACTCTTATACAGGCAAACTAGCGTAAAAAGTGACTCATACAAAATTGCCCATTTCTCGGCAACTGTTCATATTACAAATTAATTTTCACATACATTCTCTTCGTATGGATTATTGCTACTAGTTTATGAAAGTTGCGAAGAAATATTTTAAAATATGAAAAGCCTGAATGGGTTGTGAATAGCTCATTTTTTCACCTCTTTTCACCTTTAAATCGAAATGATCCGAAAACGAAATAAAAATTAAAAAAACTGAGCGCGATGATTTCTGCGCATTAACAGGGCAAACCCTTTCAGTCATACCAGATTTGAAAAAAATAATATTTGCTTTCAAAAAGTGGTACCGAACTCTCAAAATTGCAGTTTTTGCTAAATTTATGTTACTTCCGTTGCCTAAAGGAAAATGTACCGGTAACAAAAAAAAAATGACATTTTGAACCGCGGAACATATGAACTTTGTTTTATACAAATCGAACAATAAATAATTAATCCAGGACTGAAAAACTGAATTAGCCAATGGGGGCCAAGGAAAAATACGGTGACAAAGAATGTTGACATTTTTTGTCAAATCAGATGACCCTTTAACCCTTGGTAAACTACCACATAAAAATATTCATTAATAAAAAAGTTTTTTGTAAAAAGTTAAATTTTCAAAATTTGGCGCCTAATATCTCCGAAGATTCGTCAAAATAAAAAAATCCAAAGAACGTTAGCTATGTGCCTTGTCTCTGGCTATGTCAAAATGTATCAAATATTACAATCCGACAATTATTGATAACATTACGGCAAAATATCGAAAAACAACAACTTCGGTGATTTCGGACATTTCGCATTGTCGCAGAACGTTGGAAATAGCTTTAAAATTTAAGTCAAACCCATTTTCCCAGTAAAACCGAAGACATCGAATCGATCCGACAAGTAGTTTCTGAGATATGCTCAAATGGAAAAATAATAATAATAATAAGAAGAAGAATAACTAGAACTGCGAAGCAGTAATGACGGGTTTCACTGGTGCCACGTTACCATTGAACTTATGTCACTTTTGGTGCCATGTTACCCTTGAACTCATCGCTTCCAGTACCAATGGAACCGATAAATAGATATGCACAAACTTTGCACGCATCAAATAAAATGGAAGCAGAATCAACCAAATCCAGCAATGTCAATTCATTTTATACATGTGTTACATGTAAGTGATCCTGACAAAATTACATTACTTCCGGTGATAATGAAAAAGTTCAATTAGTTTTATGAAATCAGAAATGGCATAAGGCATCACATGGTGAAAATTTTATCTAAATCGAATAATAATTGCCACTTTTATAGACCAAAAACCTTTAAAAGTGACTTGTAGAAAATCGTATATTTCTTTGCAACCGTACAAGTTAGAAACCATATTTTGGTATCTGTATGATCGTTTGGGTTCAATCTATGCGTTGACTGGAATCAAATATCATAATTTTAAATACTTTACAAATCAGACGCATTTGAATAAAATATATGCTTTGGAGGCTAAAAATACAGTTTTCGCCAAAATGACGTTACTTCCGGTGATAATGAAAATATTAAATTACTTGTATGAAATCGTAAATGGCATTAGGTATCACACAGTGAAGATTTTGTGAAAATCGAATAATAATTGACACTTTTATGGACCAAAAACCTTGAAAAGTGACCTGTTGAAAATCGCCTATTTCTCCGCAACTGAACAAGTTAGAAACCATTTTATTATATCTATATGATCCCATGGGTTCATTCTATTAGTTGATTGGAATCAAATATCCAAATTTTAAATAAATAACAAATACGACTCACCTGAATAAATTATTTGTTTCGAAAGCTATAAATATAGATTTTGCCCAAATTACGTCATTTCCGATGATATTGAAAATGTTAAATTGAGTTGAACTAGTCACAATTGACATTACGCATCAAATGGTATCACTTTTATGATAATCCAATAATAATTCACTCTTTTACAGGCAAAATAGCGTAAAAAGTGACACTTGCAAAATTGACCATTTCTCGGCAACTGCTCATATTACAAACTAATTTTGAGATAGATTCTCTTCGTATGAATTAATGCTACAAGTTTATGAAAGTCAAAAAGAAATATTTAAAAATATGAAACGCCTGAATGGGTTGTAAATAGCTCAATTTTACACCGTTTTTCACCTTTAAACCGAAATGGCGCAAAAATGAAATCGAAATTAAAAAAACGGCTTCCGACTTTTTTTGCCCCTTTACATGGCGCAACTTCTTTCTTTTTACTTATTTTAAAAAAATAATATTTGCTTTCGAAAAGACGTACCTAACCGCCAAAATTGTAGTTTTGGTCAAAATTACGTCATTTCCGCTGCTGACAGAAAGCTTTATTGGTAATAAAAAAGTTGAGACTTTGCACCATTGAGCATATGAACTTTGTTTTATACAAATCGAGCAATAAATAATTAACCTAGAACCCATAAACTGAATTAGCCAATAGCGGCCAAGGTGAATTATCGATACAAAATTTTTTCATATTTTTGCTCAAATTACATGACCCTTTAATTATAGGTAGAGCACCATAAAAAAATATTAATAAATAAAAAAGTTTTTTGTCAAAATTTAAATTTTCAAAATTTGGCGCCTAATATCTTCGAAGATTAATCGAAAATCAAAGATCTAAACAATCGTAGCTATTTGCCGTGTCTCAGGCTATGTCAAAATGTCTCAAATGTTAAAATCCGACAATTATTGTTAATATTACGGCAATATTTCAAAAAACGACAACTTCGGTGATTTCGGACATTTCGCATTGTCACAAAAAGTTCGAAATAGCTTTAATCTCTAAGTCACACCCACTTTCCCAGTAAAACCGAAGACATCGAGTTGATCCGACAAATAGTTTCTGAGATATGCTAAGTGGAAAAAAAAAATAATAATAAGAAGAACTAGAACTGCGATGCAGTAATGACGGGTTTCACCGGTGCCACGTTACCCTAAACATATGTCACTTCCGGTACCAATGAAACCATTAAACAGGTTTCCACCTCATCATTGCACACATCAAATAACATGGACGCCGAATCAACCAAATCCAGCAATATCAATTCATTTTATATATTTGTTACATGTAAGTGTATAGTACTTCCGGTGATAATGAAAATATTCAATTAGTTTTATGAAATCAGAAATGGCATAAGGCATCACATGGTGAAAATTTTATGTAAATCGAATAATAATTGCCACTTTTATAGACCAAAAACCTTAAAAAGTGACTTGTAGAAAACCGTCAATTGCTCTGCAACCATACAAGTTAGAAACCATTTTCTGGAATCTGTATGATCGTATGGGTTTATTCTATTTGTTGATTGGAATCAAATATCATAATTTTAAAAACATAACAACTCAGACTCATTTGAATAAAATATCTGTTTTGAAAGCTAAAAATACAGTTTTTGCCAAAATGACGTTACTTCCGGTGATAATGAAAATCTTAAATTACTTGTATGAAATCGTAAATGGCATTAGGTATCACATAGTGAAAATTTCATGAAAATCGAATAATAATTGACACTTTTATGGACAAAAAACCTTGAAAAGTGACCTGTTGAAAATTACCTATTTCTCTACAACTGAACAAGTTAGAAACCATTTTGTGATACCTATATGATCGTATGGGTTCATTCTATTAGTTGATTAGAATCAAATATCAAAATATTAAACAAACAACAAATACGACTCATTTCAATAAATTATTTGTTTCTAAGGCTATAAATACAGTTTTTACCCAAATTTCGTCATTTCCGGTGACATGGAAAATGTTAAATTGAGTTGAACTAGTCACAATTGACATTACGCATCAAATGGTGTCACTTTTATGAAAATCCAATAATAATTGACTCTTTTACAGACACAATAGCGTAAAGAGTGACTCATGCAAAATTGACCATTTCTCGGCAACTGCTCATATTACAAACTAATTTTGAGATAGATTCTCTTCGTATGGATTAATGCTACAAGTTTATGAAAGTTGCGAAGAAATATTTTAAAATATGAAAAGCCTGAATGGGTTGTAAATAGCTCATTTTTTCACCTTTTTTCACCTTTAAATCAAAATGACCCGAAAACGAAATCGAAATTAAAAAAACTGAGCCCGATGTTTTCTGCGCCTTTACAGGGCACACACTTTCAGTCATACCAGATTTGAAAAAAATAGTATTTGCTTTCAAAAAGTGGTACCGAACTGTCAAAATTGTAGTTTTTGCTAAATTTACGTCACTTCCGTTGCCGAAAGGTAACTTTACCGGTAACAAAAAAAATGACATTTTGGATTACGGAGCATATGAACTTTGTTTTATACAAATCGAGCAATAAATAATTAATCCAGGACTGAAAAACTGAATTAGCCAATGGGGGTCAAGGAAATTTACGATGACAAAAAAATGGTGCCATTTTTGGTCAAATCAGATGACTCTTTAACCCTGGGTAAAATACCACATTAAAATATTCATGAATAAAAAAGTTTTTTGTAAAAATTTAAATTTTCAAAATTTGGCGCCTAATATCTCCGACGATTCGTTGAAAATCAAAAATCTAAAGAACCATGGCTATGTGCCTTGTCTCTGGCTATGTCAAAATGTATCCAATGTTAAAATCCGACGATTATTGTTAATATTACGGCAATATTTCAAAAATCGACAAATTCGACGATTTCGGACATTTCGCATTGTCGCAGAACGTTCGAAATAGCTTTAATCTCTAAGTCATATCCACTTTTCCAGTAAAACCGAAGACATCGAATCAATCCGACAAGTAGTTTCTGAGATACAATCAAATTGGAAAAAAAAAAATAATAATAATAAGAAGAATAATAATAAGAACTAGATCTGCTAAGCAGATATTAAAGCTTTCATATTCACAGTCACTGTCACATGTCATAGAAATAATATGAACAGAAAAAAAAAATCATTATAATGAGTAAAAATTTGGTGAAGTTAATTCGATTTTTCACTGGTAAATAATTAAATAGACAAGTGGCATAACTTGACCCGCATCCCATCAGCTATCCTGAAAAATGCTGGAAAAATTAAACAAGTAAATTGTGTTTAGTACTGGGTTAATTAAGACAGGCATATGCCTTTGCTATACAGGATGACATGAGGGAAATTTAGCTTGGGAGGTGTAGGCCTGCAGCCAAAATTTCTAGCTAGCTTAGAAACACAACTCCGCTACACGGTCTTCCATAAAAGAAAAACTATACATTTTTGGAAAGCTTATGGTGCCAGGAAGACAAAATCTGGGAGTTCCAAGCAAAATGTTTGCAATTTATTGATTTAGGGCCAGATGAAATTCGTCAAAATTGTCAAATAAATGCTATTTGTGTACTAACAATTCTGAAGTTGACATAAAATTAAATAGTTGGTAAAACACCTCATGCCTTCATCCTTGGCAATGAACAGTTTATTGGACAGATTTTGATGTAAATAAAAATGCTCAAAACACAAATGTCATGGGTGAATAAAGAATTGTGGAAATCCATTAACGGTAAAAAAGAATTATCTCCCTTTCTGTCAAATGCCTGTAATTGATAGATTATCAGGTCTTGTATGAATCATAAGACCAGGTGTGGGCAAACAAGCCCAATAATTATTTTGTTTGTTGGATCTCAAGGGCCTGTTAGGGTTGGTTGTTGGATGTTTGCTCAGAAATTATCGCTTGCAGCTGCACAAGAGGGAACATCAACGCCGGATTAACCATGGTGGTGGGGAGGGGGGCTGATACCGACCGTGAAGCCCCGCAAGGGGGTCGGGTCAGGGGGTTCTCCCGCTAAGAAATTTTAATTGGAGGCCGAAAACGTGATTTCATGTCATTTCAGGCACTTGTGTCGGAGCCATTTAGAAATACCTCTGCCACAAAATTAGCCACAATCCATGCGGGTGCTGTGAAATTTCTAGAGGAGGGAGCTGGAACCCATGAGCCCGTTAAATTCGTCACTGTAAATGAGCAGAGCTACATCAAACCTAATTTTGAGTCCCTCAGTGATAAATAACTTGATTCAAAATCGTATTATAGCCCCAACGACGATTTGATGAATGGAGACCGTAACGTTACGACAAAGTCTAACACTGTAAGTACCAAATAGTCATACGAGATATGTGCATCTCATCAAATTCAGCTTATACCATACCCACAATAATGTTACGGAGTCAGTGAGTTCAAGTTAGACAATACGCTGACCTTCCACTGACCATGCTTATAATATAAAATCTGTCAATGACAGCTGATTCATTGTTTAGTTTTTTATATGATATATTTAATATCAATAATATATGTATATGCATGCTTTATTTTACTTTACACGACCTCTAAAAATGCCCCAAATCGTAAAAATACGACTTTTTGGATTTCGATCTCCTTTTTTCGGCTACCCCGGACATTTTCAAAAAATGATACAATGATTTCACACAACAGGCCAGCTATTAGCCTCTCGATTGACAAGAGTTTCATCGCCCTCCATTCATTATAACCAATGTCATCGTGCCCTAAAGAATCAACAAATCAGCTTGCTTATCTCTGCTTACCCTAGGCAAAAAATGCTCATCTTTGAACTCAATCATGACATTGACCTAGTGAACGCCTACACCAAGTTTGAACATTCTAGCTTAATTAGAAGGAGAGTTCTTGTGTTCCAAAGTCCCGGCCCTTCAAATTGCTTCTATTTTTCATTTTCAATTCAAAATGGTGACCATCACGTGACCGAAATCAAAATTCTGATCCGATAGATTTTTAGGCATTCCTTCCAGGATTCCGAAAATATGACGCCCGAGTCTGTAAGTAAAATAGCAAAAAAGCCTTTTTGATTTTTCACGTTTAAAGATGGTGGCACTTCCGGTTCGATCGACAAACTCCATATTTTGTGAACGAATCAGTAATTACTTGTCTAGTATCGAATTTTTTTTTTAGGTCATTCTGACCTATATTTCGACGATTTTTTTGAAAACTTTGATCCTTAATTTCACCAAGGGGAGATAATTTAGAAAATTTCCAAAGACATCATTGAAGTCGCATTGGCAAGATCTACTAACATTCTAAATTTCACGAAAATCGCACAACTATTAAAGAAGTTGTCAAATTGGTAATAACTTCCGGTTCGAAATGACAGCGACGAATTTTCGAAATGCCAAAATCCGAAATTGCATATTTGAAGTAAATGTTTCAAGATACTCAAAGAAAAAAGAATTAGTAAAATAGGTCAAATAGTCACAAAGTTACAGCATTGTAGGTCAAATGCATTCCTTCGTAAAATTCGGTGATTTCGGATTCGTAAAACGTTTTGAAAATATATTTAATCAACAGCCACCACCCATTTTTGGGGGGATAGGTAAAAGTTTCAGAACGATCCTATGGTTAGATTCTGAGAAATCCGATTTGTGGACAAAACACAAAAAAAAAAATAACAATAATAATCTTAACAGAAACAATAAGCTTTCATATGTAATATGAAAGCTTAATAATTTTAACAAAAACAATAGTGTTTCACACAAGCTACGCAGTGTGAAACCCTAATAATAATCTTAACAAAAACAATAGTGTTTCACACTGGCTACGCAGTGTGAAACCCTAATAATCCGAACAAAAACAGTAGTGTGGCTACGCAGTGTGAAACCCTAATAACGACCCCAAGAAATATTAAATTTCTATGATAAAGCTTCACAAATGTGCGGTAAAATTTTATAACGACCCCACGAATATATAATATATCTAGCTGTACGTGTATATTTAAAAAAAAAAAGAAAAAAAAAAGTTTTCAGCCTCAGTCAGGCCTCATATTATACTTTATAGGCCTAGCTATGATAATTAAATACCGAAATCTATTCATCTGATGTAATTTGTCGTTAAGTGTTGAAATAATTACACCACTCATATTAATCTCTTCCATATTCACTGGAGCGTAACTGATCAAGTCCAAAAGTAGTTGGATAGATTTGACGTACCGGATATTCAAAGCTACAAATAACCTCTTGTTTTTGTTTACGTTCACATCCAGGTCATATCCCCGATTACCTAGTCCTAAATTGCACAATACATCAATACATATCTATGGAAGTGGCTGGACGATTGCGACCTGCTGATGTAATATGGCGGTCGGCGATTGTAATAATAACAGCTGAGTGGTATTTTTGGCAGCTTGCGGACAAACAACAATAAATAGACACAGAATGAAGGTCGGAACTAATAACTAAGTCAATCAAGAAACACAAAACATCAGAATGGAGGCGATGGAGAAAATAAATAACAGTATTTTACCCGAAACTCTTCCCCCAGAAGTAAGTATGTACCGTATAGGCGTATGGTAATAAATTATGCTATAAATAAAATAGAAACTGTCAATTGTTGCAACGTCGAATGTTTGCTTTGACGGTACGCTTTGTACTACATCATTTTACTCGGTTTGACCTATTAAAGTCGGACATCTCGGTTGATTTGTGAAATCTTTATATAAATAAACGTTGACATGGCATATGTGAATGTGTATCATGTGGGATCGAATTTTGACAGATGTTTTATTAAGGCAAATAGTAATTGTAATAGTACACCTACAAGTAGGTTATGTGCATGTCATCATTACTGTCAGTAGTAGTGAAAATGCTATCTTTAAAGCTTATTGTAATGGTTAGGTTTTTGGCTGTGATATTGGGAAGCTTTATTTTTAGTCAAAGGTATCATTTTCTACTGATATTCTTTATGCCAGGGAGGTAGCTGTATATATACATGTATAACACAATGTCATGCTACATAATTGCAACACATTTATTCTGACATCCATTTATTTATTAGTTTAAAAGTAGGCCTACATGTATCAATAAACTTCCTGAGAACAATACAAAAAATAGCATAATATATAGATAGGTCAATATACATTTTCAGTAGTACAAAATCTGTTGAAATGAAACATACACGTGTCGCATTATATTCCTCTTTATAACAAAAATTTTCCGTTATTCTCGTGGGCCAAGATAAAAAGGTTTCAGAAGTATCTCTGTCCTTCTTTTGTATTTGACGTTTGAAAATCTTAGAATGTTACTGCCACCCCACGATAGCCTCTACTACATGAAGTTCTTACCAGTTGTGGTGGGAGATCGAATCAGGGGTCATACGAGCATCTTTTGACCCTATGTCATCAGACATTTGATTAACCAATCAGCGTTGATGTTTCTAGTGGAATACCCACAGTTCCAATAACTCTCTGCAACAGACCATTTCATTGGCTAATCCCTCATATCAACCAGAAGCGGGTTATATAACAACTCTTCCAGATCCTAGTGTAGTAAAGACAAGTAAAATGAAATTTTGAACTATAATAAAAGAAACGAAATAGGATCTGCATTTTAATCAGATTGCCCCACAATGTTGACTGCTAAGAAATAATACTGTTAATATTAATAGCACTCTTAGTGGTACGGTAAAGTCAACAGACCTGGTTCTGACATTTGCTAATGTTAATCCAATCCAAATACTTCTTGGCATTTCTAACTATATTCTACCTTGTTAACTAGTTATTTAAAATGTAACCTTCATTCAAAATATAATTATAACGGCTAGAAAATGACATTATAGTAGATTCGTTACGACATTCTACACATTTCATATCTCGTAATTTCTAGCAAGAATTCTACCTTAGTTTTTAGTTAAATTAACCATGGAAAAAATTCTACTTGTAAGCCCAAAATTATTTCTTTATTGTCTAATCAATAGACGCCTTCCAATTTATTTTATACTTAGCAACATTGTGTAATCAAAATATTATCGCCATACATGTATGTCACATAGAAACAGAGTATTGTCTTGTATTTTATCGTAAAATATTGAATTAAAAATGGTTCAAATGAATTTTCGTTAAAGAATTGTACATTTCTATGAAAAGTTTCCAGACATTTTTGCATGAGTGATGCCTTTTAGGCGAGTATACCATGCCTGCGAGTACTTACTCGCACCTCCTGAGGTCTGTTTTATGTTGAAAATTGATGCCAAATTGTTAAACAATTACCAACTGGTTAATAGCTATGGTTATTCAAGTAAAAGAAAAGTCCTAATCGTAGGAGCACTAATTGTATAATGAAATGAAATGAAATGAAATGGGGTTTAACGTCCTACTGTTCTGCTCCTGTACTGGGCTAATGAAGATGGGCATACGCCATACAGTGTGCTATGAGGGAAATTTTGCCCGGGCAGCGGCACTATCGCCTACTCTTATATCGAATTCCAACTGCCAAGGGATCTTTTACGTGCATTCTAATGTATACACGGGACCTCGGTTTTTTGTATCATCCGAAGGACTAGACAGCTGTCCTTGTCAGGCCCTCCGTTCTGAACCACTGACAAGGGGAAACCACTTCGAAAAATCAGGATGAACTTTCTCGGCCAATGTCGGGATCGAACACCCGACCTCCGAGCTAGCGAGCCAGCGTCTAAACCACCCAGCTAGGTTTGACTCATAATTAGCTGATGTTTAGTTTTATCACAATCCAATTCAAATTATTTCTTTATTTGATTTTCAACACAATGTGGTGTGGAAATGTAAAATATAAAGCGAAAAAAACAATTAAAAAATATCTGAGTTTCATCAGATAGCATTTCGTCACTTTTCTAAGGAACCGACGAATCTGAAATATTTAGGTATTGAGAATTATGCGTTTGAAATTTGCGTTCAGTTGTTATCTCTGTAGCCATGAAATATTAACATTTATTTATGATTTAATATTTCACACATATACATCAGGACACGGAACGCCATTTACATAAATGTTATTATTTGATGGACATTGAGATAACAACGATGATTTAACACCTACTGGTAGTTCTAGTCTGTCATTGTGTCAATTTCAATTTGATTTTTTCTGATTATTTCAGGAAGAACTTGGCAACGTTGAATACAAGGTAAGATTGATTAAAGTTTAAAGATGCATAATGCAAGAGCTAAATCTGCCTATTGCAGGTCTTCTATTTAGCTTCAATGTAAGTTCTTTATTCAGTGTAGGCTATGTTGTCAGAGACTACCTTGTCAAAACTTCAAATACTTAACCTGTTAAGTGCGTAGGTCGTTATATAACGTCCTGGACAACTGCCACTCACTGTGTGTAGCGCGTAATATAACGCCTTGGAGGTATTTTCCCCAATCTATTCTTAGAACATAGTACATAGTTCTTCGTCACTTCGTCAAATTAATTACACAATAGGGGGTAGTTAACGTTTTAAAAACGTCACACTTAACAGGTTAAAACCCAACATAGACGTCTTAAATAGGGAAGGAGCATGGCGTTACAGCCTAAAGCAATAAACCAATTAGTATTTAATTTAATTTAGTATTTAATTTACCAGGCATAAAACATACATATACATTGACCCTGGCTTATTTTGTTACATAGATGTTTATGGTTAAACTTTTAAAGCATGTGTTATTAATTCAAGTCATGCCAATTAATATATCTTCAGGAATTCAGTTATATAAGTGTGTTGTATATGCATTTGTAATAAGTTTTTGACAAAATAAATCTTTTGCAGAGAACATTGGTACGCCCCTCTGTTACAAGACTTGAACATTTAGTCACACAGATGAAATGGAGATTAGAGGAAGGACATGGTGAAGCAATATATGAAATAGGCGTTGAAGATAATGGAATATTGGCTGGATTAACTGATTCAGATCTTGATGCTTCTCTTGAAACCCTGGAAACCATGTCGTCAAGGTATACATTATTCCACACAGCAGAATAAACAATCTTAATTCTTAAAATCACGTACAGAAATCTCTATATAAAAAAAAAAATCAAATATGTTTGTGTGTATGTTTGTTTGCCAATCACGCTCCATCACTGCGATGCTCCCCCACATATGTGGTATTAAATTAACCAGCATAACACAGTTAATGTTTTAGGCCATGATTCTTGCCATAATATCAAATACAGTCAGTGTGTTAAACATTTTGAAAAACCAGTCCACTAAGGCTTTAAAATATGATTGAGACAAAAAGCTGAGGTGTACTCATTGGCATGCACATAAAAGAACTTCTTCATCAATTAGTGTTAGATGTCCGCTTTCACCAATAGTGATATTACAGAGAAGTTGTCTTATTTTATTATGCTTAGAGCAGGCGGAGGGGGTATTTCCTGTGGGAAGAAAACATAGTACTACAAGATTGAGAATACACTTCTATTTCCAACCCACATACACTCTCACCAAGGATCAAAACCATGACCACAATCCTGGGCCCTGTATCTCGAAATCTTAACTAAAGATCAAATCCAAATTTTGATTGACTAAGCACTTAAATCAATCTAATATTATCCAATTAAATTACTAAAATTAGGATTTTATCTTAGTTAAAATTTTGTGAAACAGGCCCCAGAGGTGACAGGTCAGCTAGAGCTCAAAACACCACTAGGCCATTCCAACTGTTGAATGTTGAAATTCAATGAAAACTAGGCAGTAAAGCTACTACATGGAGTATGCCTGTTATCATTAGCCTGGTTGGTGCAGTTTGTCATTAAAATATTTTGTTAACCTTTTCTCCACATTTTCAGACTTGGTGCCAGTTTAACTGTTTTAAGAGAAAGAAGTATTGAAGATGAAAAATCAACAGGTCGTAGACGTGCCATGGAATTACTGATTAGAAAAGTCCCAGATGATCAAGAGGTAACTGATGTTAACCAATTGATTAAAGATACATTATGGGAGATTCGATAACGAGTTGGCAGTTCTCACTATAATAATTAAAAACTAGATAACGTAAAGGCAATTTGCTGAAAATTTCATTCAAATTGATCCACTATGAACCGAGAACTAAGCGAATGAAATTTCTGCCTAGCCTCGGTCATCATTACTAAAGTCAGTACGTTAAACAGCATAGTCTCGATTATCCATTTAATCGTTTAATCAAGAAGGAAAGTTATACAGTAAATCGGATCACAATCCACTTAAAATCGCAGGCTAGCGATGCCATCAAGAGTTGATTATGGTCTGGATCAGTTAATTGATGTCTAATTAATAATTTAGATAACGTTTCAGCCCTAAAGAAAGACCTGCAATAGACAGATTTAGCTCTTGCATAATGTATGTTTAAGTTTGGAAATAATTATAGGATAATAAAATATTACACATACTGTACTTACTAGTATGGAAAACGCTACTAATATATTTGGACAAGTTTCAAATTATATTCTCCCAACTTTTATCAAGCTAATATAGTAATGCAAAATGTATGTATTTTTATTGTTTTGTATTTTTATTATAGTTTTTAGACTTACGACTGGCTGTGCTTGGAAATGTTGATACTGGAAAAAGTACCTTACTGGGTGTTTTAACACAGGGTGAACAGGATAATGGGCGGGGACGTGCCAGGTTAAATCTGTTTCGACATCTTCATGAAATACAATCTGGAAGAACATCTAGTATTAGTCATGAAATACTGGGCTTTGATGGCAAAGGAGAGGTAAGGGTTAACTTTTCAAAATCATATTAAAAACGATAAGGCACATTGAAACTTCTATAACTATAAATAATTACATTCAGCTAATGACAGTGACCAGTGTCATGTACTAAGTAGGGTAAGCTTACTTTTTTCTAGAACATCTGATATCACTTCTCAGTTATTTGGTGAGTTGGTGTAGCGGAATATCCTGCAAGTGCAGGTAACCAGTACTATATGTTAAAAGTAAAAAATTAATCAAAAAAAAAAAAAAAAATTGCAAAATTACTTTCACTTATACCAATTTGATGTTGAGAACATTTGAAGTATTCAACTGTTGTTATCTACATTTGTAGGTAGCCAATACATGAAGAAACTAATTAAAAACTAGAAATTATTTATATGGTGTTTATGTTTCTTTAAACTTTCAGGTTGTGAATTACAGTGGATCTAGAAATATTGAAGAAATTTGTGAGAATTCTACTAAATTAATAACATTTATAGATTTAGCAGGACATCATAAATATTTGAAGACAACAATATTTGGATTAACTGGAAATTCGCCCGATTTTGCCATGCTGGTTGTTAGTGCTAATAAAGGAATGGGTAAGTTTAAAACATTATTTTAGTACACATATAGGTATACTACATGTATCTTAATTAAGATCACTTATGCCAATGTATAATATTAAACAGAGATCAAGCTAAAACTAACTTTCCAAATTGGCGATGTAATGAAATATCCCCAATTTTCACAGTATATACATATATAATTGTATCTTTACTATAAACTTACTACTGTCATAAATTTGGAAATCGCCTTGGGCTACATCAGTCTTTATCAGTCAATCAAACGTAATTAAATTAATATGTTCACTCATAAATCTACACGTATGTTGAAAGTTATTAAGGAAGTTTAGTACACCTTGCCATAAATTACATAAGGTTTATTTTGTAGGTGTTAAGGGGGAATTTAATCTAAGCTATATGTCAGTCAATCGAGCAAATGCAGTTTTGTTTTCTTTGTAAATTATGTCAATTTCAACTACTGTGAAATCTAGAAATAAAGTCTTAAATGAAACAAGCTCAGGTCACATCAATATATATTTGTTTTCTGTTACTGATGGAAATAAAGTAGACCATTACCCCAGAAATATTAATTTCAATCTGCATGTATTGCTTTATAATTATTATTTTACAGTATAATATTAATGTTTTATAGTACTGCTATATTTTTGTAATACAGTATATTTCTGCATGATAATATGCCTGGCAAGGCATAGTGTCTAGTTTTTCGGATGGTAAAGAAAAATTGAGGCCCTGTGTGCATGCTGGTGTGCATTTTATTGACATTCCAAATTAGAGAAGACTGTAGCACCACTATCCATGCGTAATGTCCCAAACTGTGCACTACATTGTATATGCTTGTCTTCATTTGCCAGGACGGAGCAGAAAAGTAGGATGTTAAATACCATTTCATTTCTTTTTAGAATTTAAATCCATTTGTACAAATTTCCAATGAGAAATAAGACACATTTGGTTTGATTATATAATAAACTACATGTATATTGCTAAAAATAAATGACAGATTTATTTTCTTTTTTAAGTTGGAACAACTAAAGAACATTTAGGCTTTGCTTTAGCATTGGGTGTTCCGGTTTTTGTTGTTGTAACTAAGGTTGATATGTGTCGAAAATTTATGATTGAGAAAACTGTCAAGCAACTAGAACACATCTTAAAATCACCAGGATGTAAAAAAATTCCGATGAGAATAGAAAATGAAGATGATGCAATCACCGCAGCTACTAGCTTTGATACACAAAAGTAAGTTTAATTGCTTCGATCTGAGCATTAATGATCAATGTCATAAGTACAGAACTGAAGTTTCATTCCGATCATTTATCTATTAGTTTAGAGAAAGTTGGATGTCAGATTGCCAGCTTTTCAAAATTGGTGGGAGTTTTGAAATTCAAAGCTAATCTACAAGGCTAATAATTGGTAGTGCAAACTGTATTATTTTTTTTTTTTTGATTCGTTTTCCAGGGTGACTCCAATATTCTTGGTTTCAAGTGTCACAGGTCAAAATCTTCCTCTTTTGATCAAGTTCCTTAATGTATTACCTCCCTTGAAGAGTCGACATGACAGAGAAAAACTTGTCCAAGATCACACAGAATTTCAAGTGAGGAACATTTGAATGGTTTTCTTTTGATAACAAGAAATCAATCTTTGTAATTTACTGCAAATGAGGTTTAACGTCCACTCGACACAAACAAGGTCATTTTGGGATTAACGTATGGTTTAATTTTATTTCAACAATTCGCTGTTGGGAGGAAACTGGGGGACCCAGAGAAAACCCCCCAGGTTGGATGGCTGACCCTCCTCCTTCTCATGCACAAGCTGGGAATCAAAACCCTGTGACTTGACTCAATGACAGACCTTATGATCTAACGTGCACATGTTAACCAAATTGATATTCAAATAGGCTTGATAAAGTGCAACTTCTTGATGTGTTGTATTAATTTAGTGTGACAATTTAAATTTAGTGTGACAATTTAAATCATTGTATCATAAAGAATTTTTTGCCAATGTCTATTCTATGCTATAAACCAATGAAAATCTTGGAATAGGAGTTTCTGTTCTGTGGTAACCAATCAAAAAAAAAAACCCCAAAAAACAATCATTATATAATATTTACAGATAGATGAATTGTTTACTGTACCAGGTGTAGGAACAGTAGTTGGAGGAACTATACAAAGGTAATTATTTATATACTCATTTGTGATTTAACAGAGATACACCAGTTACAAAGTCAATAGTTCTTAAGGGATTATTTGAAGGAAGCAAGCCACGATGGCTCAGTGGGTAGACGTGGGCTCGCTAATCTTGAGGTCTCGTGTTCGATCCCTGTGTTGGTCTAGAAAGTCATCTGGATTTTCCGGCATGATTCCCGCTTGCTAGTGATGTAGGACGGAGGGCCTGGCAAGGAATAATGTATAGTCATTCGGATGAGACGGAAAACCGAAGTCCTTTGTACACATTGGCATGCACTTAAAAGAACCCTTGACAGTTGGAATTCGAAATAAGTGTAGGCTGTAGCGCCGCTGTCCTGCTAAAATTTCCCTCATAGAACACTGCATGGCATATGCCCATCTTCATAAGCCCAGTAGGATGTTAAACCTCATTTTATTTAATTTCATTTCTTTGAAGGAGAAAGTTAATGTTATGAAAGGAAAGGAAGTTATTTCGTGTCAGCAGAATACTTCCGTCATTTTGATTCTAACATACAGCTATTTTTGTATGTGCATGTGTGAAATGCTATGGAGGAGAATTTTGCCCAGTCAGCGCCATTTCTGTGCACTCTGTCAAGGGTTCTGTTTTTTTTGCACTCACCCAAACTTTATTTTCAAGGGTTCTATCAAGAAGAAAGATAAGGCTACACAAAATAAATGTCTTGTTTCTCACTCTGTCAAGGGTTCTGTTTTTTTTGCACTCACCCAAACTTTATTTTCAAGGGTTCTATCAAGAAGAAAGATAAGGCTACACAAAATAAATGTCTTGTTTCTCGGGCAACTGACAGCTGAAACTGTAGGGGGGGGGAGGGCAGTTTATTTTTTTTTTTATCTCATTTCTGGCTAGAGGATGGTGCAAAATAAAATTTGCCTATTGTTGAAAATTGTTGGGGCGGGAGGGCGGCCTTGTATTTTTTTTTTTTTTTTAATAAGAAAGTCATTACTTGTCTACAGTTTTGCTTTCAGTTATATATTATACATACTTAGAACATAAACCCAAAAATCAAGTCTACTCAAACACTGAACACTGACTGAAAGGAAAATAATTTTCCATATTTAATTCACGTAATGTAGCTTACTAATGGTAATAGTGACAACCATAATTGAAATTGGTTTAAAATAAAATTCCGTACGACTATTAATAGCCGTCCATAATAACGACAATATTTTAAAGAGTAAGCCTCTGTCAGCATGTGTATCATCATCATCACGGTAAACGACACTTCGATCTAAATCTAGTATCGCTGGTTTATAATGATTGACCTAATTCCAACCAATGTCACGTGTCATCGGGATATGACTGTTTCTCAGGTTATTCGGTGTGTTTCTCAGGATATTCGGTGTTCTATCTGGGGTTTATATCGAATGACTATTTAAATTTAACTAACAACTCGTCAGTAAAACCATCAAATGTGTAATCCAATTATTATTTTCCGGATTATCAAAACTACCGTTAAATGTGCTAATGACCCAGATTCTGACTAAGGTATGGTGACTATCATCGTATCGTATTCGTAGCCACAAGTTATAATAATTAACCTGTTCTACGATTCATTGTTTTATAAGTAGGATTTTTTTAAACATGGACCGACTGAAGCCGGCAATAATGAGCCGATTAAGATCGAATGATTGAAATACATTGCATTGTTGTCAATGACTTTCGGTGTTTAACACGATTCAAATTCTAGTTCACAAGGGGAGGTAATTAAAATCATGTGATACAAAAATGGAGGTTCTTTCGATATCAATAAAAAAGACCCGTAAATGAGCGTTTACATCTGAATCAGTTTAATACATTTGAATGGATATTCACGTATGGGGCATGTAGATACATGCGGCATATTTTTTTTATGACTTGCTTATCGATGTTCGGGCGGGCGTTACATATTTTTTTTTTTCATCAAGACTAATAAATAGGCCGCTTGCGCAACCAATTTTGCGTGCGGGCGGTGCCCGAGAAACAACTTATTTTATTTGTGTTGCCTAATGTTATGTTTTATATTTTCAGGGGTTCTATCAAGGAGAAAGATAATGTTATGTTTTATATTTTCAGGGGTTCTATTAAGGAGAAAGATAATGTTATGTTAGGACCCTCAGAAGATGGAGAATTTAAGGCTGTAGAAGTTAAAACTGTTTATAGAAATAGGTTACCATGCCGACATATACAGGCAGGACAAGTAGCAACTGTAGCATTAACCAATGTAGATAGAGTTGAGCTTAGGAAGGTTGGTCTACTCTTCGGTCTCGATTTTAATTCTGTAAAATATTTCTTTAATGGAATCGGGAAAAATGTTTACAAAAATAAAATATGTATAACGTTGCAATTTTCATTTTTACCAGCAAAAGCTTCTGACAAGAACTTTTTATATGTGTGACTTGATGGTGAAATTTACTTTGGCTAAGACATGTGGTTTTGAAACTAATATTTAAAAAGATATTACTACTTTTTTTAATAGTTTTATGCACATAAACGAGAGATAAAGCAGTCCATATTATTGAGATATTTCTGCCTTGGATACAGTGCGAGATCAAGAGAGAGAGGGCTTCCGGCCGAGGCGTATAAGATTATAACATAAAATATTTGACACTGTCATATAAGATGTTCGACACAGTCATATAAGCCTTTATTACATGTCATCATTCTCAGCTTTGCTCAATTGTGTTTAAAACACCCTTCCATCATCCTCTAGTCCTGAGGGTGGGGGGATTGGGAGGGGTCTTTCTCTAATTTTGAGGATGGAGATTTGGAGGGGCCTCATATGTGGACTATCGCAGGGCCTCTCTGTATTTAAATCTGTCACTGCTTTGATAAGTCCTTCTTCTCCATCTAACATTAATATTCATACTTTGATAGGTTATATGTACTGTTAACTGTTTAAACTATGCTATATCATACAGGTCACAATTCTATGGAATACAATTACTGCTTATTACTGAGTGATGTTTCGACTAGGCTTCTCTAATCTTTATTCCAGTTTAATTGTCATTGAAACAATTTAAACTATGCTAACAAGACTTTCATTTATTATAGGGTATGGTATTAGTTAGTCCCGAGTTACAGCCCATGTCATGTATACAGTTTGAAGCTGATATATATGTTTTATATCATGCTAGTCAGATAACTAAAGGATTTCAAACTACATTACATATAGGTACAGTTTGTCAAACAGCTATTATTACCTATATAAATCAGGTATGTCATATTGTTTTACTCCAAAAAACATAGTTGCTGTGTATATTGATGTTAGAATTTAAATTGAATAAACATACAGGTTTTATGACTGTTTAAAACAGTGGACAATTTGAATATTTAGTGGTGGAGGGAGGGGAGGCAAAAATCTTAACGTGTTCCATTATTACTTTTACACCAAAGCAACATTTGGTACAAATTACTGTTGGAAACCCAGGTCCCACTTGACAAATTTTCAATTCCTCATATCTTTGTAAATACGGGATTGGATCATTGGCTTGATATTCCAATTAGAGATTCAACTTTCACATTATTGTGGTTTGCAAGGGCATAAGAAATTCCACCAAAGTAACAATCAGTTTAGTCTGATCGCCATTGATAATTGTATTTTAGAGGGATATTATCTCTGATTTTTGAGATAACATAATTCTACCATATTGCCGTCGTTCTTTCATCTCATATTGTTTTAAAAGGACACTAGTAATACATGATAACATAATTCTACCATATTGCTGCCGTTCTTTCATCTCATATTCTCTTAAAATGGCATTAGTAATACATGTGTTATTTTATTCTATATACCTTCTGGGGGGGGGGGGACAAATGGTTTAAGGCATGCATATTGAGTCAAGTGGCTTGATTTTGACTCCATGCTTGTATGTGACAAAGAGTAGAGTAGACTGTACTCCGGGTCATCTGGTTTCCTCCCACTACTAAAGACACATATTCACAAGTGAATTATTGAAATGAAATTAAACCATAAGTCAGTCCAGAAATGATCTAGTTTGTATCAAGTGTGAATATTAAACCCCATTTCTCTCTCTCTCTATATATATATATATGCCTTATATGTTTACAGGATCATATAAAAACAAACCAGAAAGCTAGAGTTATCTTCCGATTAATCAAACAACCAGAATTTATACGTGTTGGATCCAGGCTGCTGTTTCGACAGGGTAAAACCAAAGGTATGGGAGAAGTAGTAAACACCTTTCCCTTTGAACATATACACCGGTGAATATCCCTAGTTAATTATTAATCTTATTCAAATACACAGTTTTATTTCTTTCTCATAATGTCTGGTTCTGTCTCATATGAAAAATACAGCCAGTATATTGAGGTCCAAGCATAAGGCTACCTTTCATTGACGGTATAATGGAAAAATTCCTTTGGCGCATGTCAATTTGCCTGGGGATTTGTCAATCTCTATTATATCGGAGGGGGGTTGGATGGCCGAATGGTTAGTGTGTGTGTGAAGCTTCATAAAATCTGTCATTGAGTCAACTGGCATTTCTTTGATTCCCCGGTTGTACGTGACAAGGAGTAGGGTGACAAGGAGTAGGGTCGTCTGTCCAACCTCTTGGGTTTTCTCTGGGTCCTCCGGTTTCCCCCTATTGCTACAGACCCCCCACGCACCAGCGAAATATTGAAATAAAAAAAGACCATATGTTAGTCCCAAAATGATCTAGTTTGTGTCGAGTGGACGTCAACCCCCCTCTCTCTCTCTCTCTCTCTCTCTCTCTGTCTCTCCAACACATATATTACAAATGTTACTCCAAATATTATATTGTCTTTTAAATATGTGGTGTTCAGTTAAGTACATCGTGACAACTTGGAACAAGAAATTTAAATGTGTATTTGAACGAGATTAATCAATTATTTAACCATAGGTAATTTTATTTATCATACAGTGTGATATTATTTTACATATTTTTATTCATCCATTCTTCCATGTTTTCTCAACATCATGATTGTTTTATTAACTTGAAATTTATAAATTAAAGAAAAATTATTCATTTATTTTTAAATGTTATATCATTATTATCTCTGTGTTTTAGTTTGCCATTCATCTTACGATAAGATTCTTATAAATGTTCATATTGTGTTATTTCAATAATCAAATGAAACCATTTATAAGATTATTAACAAATAGAACAGATTATGTAATAGAGTTATGCTAAATTATCATCAGCTTACTTTCATATTGAGGAATACTTTCACATGGCATGTATTCCTTGCTTCATTAAGTGATTATATCTCTGTAATATTCATATTGTTGCTATAGATTTTTAAAGCTACATAATTTGTACCGTACACTATCCAGTCTGCAGTCATTTCCATTTCGGTAGACTGGAATAAAAGCATAAAGTGTCTGATTTAAAGACATGGTGTAGCACTCGGCTTGATTCTTCATTAAGCAACAGATCTTGCTCTATAAGGCGCTGTCGTTTTTCTCCCAGATGTTGATATTTTCCTTGGATACTACTTGAAATGTCTTCATCATCTCTTCAACTGTTTTTTTTTATTTTTTTTTAAAAAGTAAAATGATCATGACAAATTTGATATTCTGTACAGTAGTGAATTTGTATATTATGTTAAATTGTATATTGCTATGTAGTTAAGTTTAAATTTTGAATTTTGTATATAAATGTATAATGCAATGTATAATATGTGTATTTTAGTATGCAAATATGTATATTGTCCAGCTTTTAATGCAAATATATTTATTGAGATCTTTGTGCTTAATTCTTAGCTGTTTTAGTAGAATCAATTATGCAACAGTTTCAGGTTTTACAATCATTTCAAATTTTGATGAAATGCAGTAGGATTTGATTGATTTGAAATAATTAGGATTTCATTAATGAAATAGATTAACATATTAATGAAAAAGGATTTTGCATGCGGACTGTACACTATATTGCATACTTAAATTTATGTTGAATACTAAACAAAACACAATATCTGCTATAGGTGTCATATTTAAAGCTAAAAATGATATTACACCATTTATTGTTTTCTATATTATTTGAAGCATAATTAAGAAAAAAGCATAAATGAAGTAAATATAATTCATCAAACACACATCACCTTATAAACAGAACTTTGTTCTAGTTTGTAAAATATTATTGATTGTTTTTGTCTGGCTGATCCAGAATTTCTTTGTAAACTTTCATAACAAGTATGTCAACTCGAAAAACAAGTCTGTAAAACTCCAATAACAACTCTATAAAACCACAATAATAACTCTATAAAACCCCAATAACAACTCTGTAAAACTTCAATAACAAGTCTGTTGAACTCTTATAACAACCCTGTAAACAAGTCTGTAAAACTCCAATAACAACTCTATAAACCCCCAATACGGTAACAATTCTGTAAAAATTCAATATGGTAACAAGTCTGTTAAACTCCAATAAAAAATCTTGTTGAGAGTAACAATATCCTTATATTTTACATCATGGATTTCTCATTGATTGTTGTGTTTTAGATTTAAAGTATTTAAAAATCGCTAACAATCTACACATTACTTGATTTAAATATAGGACTGTTTATATTAAAGCGATAATTTCATATTTTTAAGTTATATTTTTAAAATGTATTAAAATAAAGCCGTAAAAAAGATGGTATCTATAAACAGTCCTACCTTGTTAAAAAATAATCCTATTAATCCTATAATTCACTATTGCCAGTTGAGAAATTGGCAAAAATATCATTTTCAGCGTCAAATTCAAACGTTTGAAGATAGCTATTCCATGGGAGGGGGGGGGGGGAATAGAAAAACAAGGGAGGTAATTGTGTTATTATTTCCGGGGTGAATGATTTTTAAGTGTGAGAATGATACCTATGATCGTATGATAGTGAGTTGACAACCTATTGAGCAAAAGACATAGAAATAATTGTTTTGACTTTCTTAGAAAATATGAAATTCTCGCTTTAAGGACTGTTTATAGTGAGGATTGTTTAAAATCTAACAGAAAGTTTAGTAATCATAAAATAAAGCTTATCATTTCATTCATTGATTTTCATTGGTTTGTTAAAGATATATTTTTAGTTTAGTTAAAGCCACTGATCGTCATTTGCATTTTTCACAGCTTGATTATTTAACATTTCATTAAAAAAACCCCAAACAAAACCAAAATATCAACAGTTGATAATATCACAGATAACATTATTCAACTGATATTCCTTTTAGAGATTCAACTTTCACAGTGTTGTAATTTGTAAGAGATTACAAATCCCTCAAATGACGATCACTAGCTTCAAGTGTGTACTTATAATTATAGTTTTGTTTGAGTGTTTGTTTAAGATTTTTAATTTCTATGGTTTGAATTAATCAATTGACATATCATCATATTGACATTGTCTGTTGATGTGTAAAATCATTTTTTCATTTTACTTTTGTTAATAATATTCAGTTACACCCTTACATTTTTAAGTGGCATTATTGCTTTGATCACAAACAATAGCCTAAGTCATTTTTAAAACATATTACAAAAAAAAGACAAAATAATGTATAAAGAAATTTTATTATTTGAACAGTTAATTATGTAAACCATATTTATTTCAAAATTGACTTTGGCAATTTTTTCTTTGACCCGATATTGAAAATAATTTTACGACTCACCTAATTATCAAAAATGACATTCAGAAATCCAAAAACTGACCTACTGTGAGTCAAGTATTTTTCGCCAGTGGTTGTATGTCAGCCATGGTCTGGTGGATTTGTTTGAATTTGTGCAACCATTTTAATTTGAACATGGTCGAAGTAACTGCATATTCAAATTAAACCAAACTCAAACAATATAATTTTTACCAATCATATCACATTCATTATATCACCATTTGCAACAAACTGATCAGCAGTGAATATTCACTAAGTGGCTACAGTGACTGGGAGGAATGACATTGGTGAAGTTAATTAGCTCACATAATATTAACTTTTTTCCTTCTGCAAATTAAATTCTAGAACATTTTTTTGAACTATTAGAAAAATAAATAAAGGTGTTTGAAGTTTATCTGGACAAAAACTATTTCCTATTTAGTGTAAATGTTTGCGTTACCATGTCTTCTGTAAACAATGCACACGCTTATTGAGCCAGTGATTGACGCTGTGTGATGTGACGTCAGGCTTTCCTATCACCTCTGTGAAACAGATTGCATTTCCTACTTTGGTTCATTGATTAAATTTCCCCCATGTTTATAGTAATCAAGAAAAAAAATATGTATTGTTTACTTATGAATAGTTTATTAAGTATAATTAGTTCAGAATTTACATTAGTCACAAATTATCCTTTATGTTTTTACTTATAAAATTCTTAATTTCAAGACCATTAGAATAAATTTAATATAGAAAATTTGTAATACAGATAATTAATAAAGTAACAAGCTTTAAAACTGAAAATAAAAAACAACTTTATATACTTGCTTGTCTTTTCTTTTTGCATTATAAATTTGCCATAGGGAAATGAAAATTCAGGCGGATTTTAAAAAAGTCCACTGACATTTTCGAACATTTCTGCCCATGAACACTCTTGGCAAACAACAAGAAATCTGTGATGACCTGATCATTTATGTTGATATTTAAATACAGGTATGGTCAGACCCTCCAAACATCGTCTACTAGTGGTTTACATCAAGAGTTCCTTGAATTACGTCAGGATGGTTTGAAGTGGAAGCCCTTGTTTACAACCCTTTTGCATAACATTCTCAAATATTATTTGATCTATTTGTGAAATGCATGTGCTTTGTTGTATTAAAGAAGCTAAGTCTCTAACTGAATATCATCCAAAGACTTCGACATTGAAAACATGAATTATTTGTCAATTTAAATCTACATTGATTTTGTGATCTTACGGGGAAAAGATGGGCTTCTGATATCCAATATTTAAGACAAAATAAACACTTTACCATTGGTACAAGAAAAATCGTGTATCATAATGCATTTCAGCGCCATTTGTAACAAGGGACTCGAAGAACGAGGCTAGACATATTCCATAAGTTCTGTCAATCGGTGACGTCATATTCTTATCTGGAGAGCATGCGCAATAAATAGTATCGTTGTAGACTCGAATAACTAGACGCGATATCGCCATTCGATTGGGACTTCTGGCGTATTTCGCCGAACATAACTGATTAGAAATTAGAGTAAAAACAGAAACGATTAAATGTAAATCAGTTTTTATACACTCATATTACATTATTATATGCGTTGCGGCCCATTTGTGTTAATTTCTTGGTTCCAAATATTAGCGATTCAGCTCCTGTAATTGAAAGCAAGCATTTATTGTTCGTCGAGTGACCAGTCCCTGTCACCAGAACTTTGTTCCACTATCGTATGTATTGTCAAGCAACTTCTGTTTGTTTGAGGTGTAGGGTCGTGTGCCTAAACAAGGGGGGTTTCCCCTGCCCCCTCCCCCCACGGTTTACACTAGCAAATTATTGAAATAAAATTGTAACATTATTGTGTTGGGCCGAAACGACCTAGTTTGTTTTGAGTGGTGGACGTTACCCCCCCCCCCCCGTCTCTCTCTCTCTCTCTCTCGTCCATGCGTTACCCCTGAAACAAGTCCACTTCCCATGCGTTACCCCTGAAAAAAAGAAAGTAGGGTTGCGGGATATTCTAGTCGAGAGACGGGTTCCATGACCACTGAACTAGTTATTTTCATAACTGTGGATATCTGAACTCCATAGACAATGGTCCGTATGGACTGAAAATTCCAATTATTGTTTTTACTCCCAGACGTTTTGTCGTTACAAATAATTAAATTATAATCAATCAAAGTGTAGGTATATATTTTGAAAATTAATAATTTGAAACCTATCAATATGTTTTTTTTAAAAAAACAACAGTCAATGTTGTTAGATATGTGTGGACACTTTTATCTTTTTTTTAAAAAAAAAACCTCAAAAGGTTTGTTTAACTGGTTATCAATGGAAGAAAGGTGGTACGAGAACTCCTATAGCATTCCACTTTCCAGATGCACACGCCCCTTTCTCTCTTAGCTCAACATTTTCCAGTTTTGGTTATTGTGTATGGTAGTATTGGTTCTAAATTTCGTCATGACTTGTTTTCAACTGGTAAGTAGCCAGAACTAGATTTAGTTTGATGGCGGGAGAAATAAAATCAAATAGGGCTTATCGTTCTATTTTCCTGCACCAATGAAAACGGGCAAATGACATTCTTACATCAGCGTTTCTGCCCGCCCTTCGCCGAATTCCAACTGTTGAGCTTTTCTTTTTTTTAGATGTACGTGTCATCCCGACGACTAGACACTGACCCTTGTCAGTCTTTCCTATGTGTGGGAGAGGGAAGAATAATTACTCAATGTGATTGGGCCGGAAATGGAACTAAATTATTCTGCATAAACTAATGAAAGAAAGTTTGCCCGGAAAGCGGCCTCATCACACTCTTGTCCCATACATGTATGCACCCAAATGAGCAGAATTATGGTCTCAGCTAGTTACCGATTTTTATAAATTTCTCGGGTAATTCCCAATAGACCGGATGTTCAGCGCGCGGGGCGGGGGGGGGGGGGGGGTGGGGTGTTCCATCAAATGGGCACCAAACCAGACCCAACTTTTCTAGAGTAACATTTTGTGTAGAATCCGATGCCGAGTGGTAATCAGTCCGCCGTTGGGGCGAGGAGATATTCGGGGTCAAAGGTCAAATGAGTTCATTTGCACTGAAAGTGAATGCGCAGTCATTCTTGTAT